TCACCACCAAGTGAAAATTGGGACTTAGGACGCCTACATAAACAGATCACCAGAATGATTGACAATTAGGAGGATCACTTATTTTGATGATTCACCCAAAAAAAGAACATCCTCCATTATACTGTACCTTTAAGTATAAGAGATATGGTATGGCTGATCCGATTTCTAATATTACAAGTGTTTTTTCAGGTTTTCTTTCTTGAATTGATTCTAAACTTTTAGCCAGCAGATACATTTTAAAGGCTTGATTAAAAGAAACATTCAGTTTGACAGAAAAGTGAATCAGTCAAAGTGTTACAGAGGCCTTTATGAATCAAGTCAGACTTAATAGCCAAGAGGCATGAAGGTTTAACTTGATTATGTTTCAGAACTCTAAGAAGCACTATTCAGTATTTAACTCCAACCTCTGCTATCATTAAAGAAAACTGACACTGTACTATATGATCATCAATATCTCAGATAGTCGTCTTTTTTTTTTTTGTTACTCATATGCATAGATTAAAAGAAACTGGCAGAAAATATTAACTAGGCGCAGTAATCAGTAGCAGGCGCCACCATAAACTTAAGCAACAAGAGTTCAATTTTTTTATTGGCAGCTGCAGAGCATTAAATGCGTCTTTGGCTAAATAGAAAACTGGGTGAGAAGCCAAATATTGTGGGAAAAAACAGCAACTGATCAACACTTTTAATCAGACTATCAGCAAGAAAGTGTGCTTAAATATCTCAAATTTTCTTTTTTCTATCCTTGAATATCTAGAGTATATTGATGTAAGAAAATTATTAATGAGCTCAGAAGCATTTACACTTTGACCTTTTAACATAATACTAAATATTCTGGTCCCACTGACTGAAGTAATGCATTTTGTTGCCCAAGAAGCTTTTAAGCTGGTTTAACAGTGTAAGAGCAAATTGGAGGAAAATTCATAGATGTTTGTAAAAAGGTTACAAAAGCAATACTGATACCTTTTTGTTGTTAAAATTATCATTTAAGTCTACAAACACTCTAACGTTAGCATAGAATAAAGAAATGCAATTTGTAATGAATGTTTTTGGGCTTCCTACAATCTGTAATTCCATACGTGTTGTTTTTTTGTTTGCACGTACCTACGTGAAAACAGAGGGGAAACAGATATAGCTGAAGTAGCACAGTTTTTTGACAGAGTTTACCATGTTGATGGTCTTTCTTTTTTAATTTTCTTTTATTAAACATCATAAGAATATTGTCTGGTTTTACTCGCGTTTCAATACTTGTTGATAGGCTGATTTCCAAACTGGTAGAGAAGAAACGAAAAGGAGCTGGAATGCTGCTACAAACAGTTCCGGGGAATAATTTTAATCCTTTTTACCTCTACTTTGGTGTTTTATCAAATGGCTGCACTGAAAGGCTGTGCTTAACATGTTCCTGTTCGCCTGAGATTTTGCCAAATCTCCAATGATCCATCTAATCTTAAACAGGGGGATCATTGCAATCCTGGACCTACTCTGCTTCACCATAGAAATAATTACATATTTACATGGACATATTTACATGACTAATGCAAATGTGATGGTGGCAAGGGTTGGCTGTCGCCAAACAAATCGTAATTTATTTAGAATGAAGACACTTGGGGTTTATACCATAATGCATAAGATATTTGCTCTTGCTGAATCTTAAACAAAACCCTGATTAAAAATCTGAACTGTCACTTGAGGCTGTAATAGAGTCATGCAAATCTCTCATTCTTGTGCTAAAGCTGAAAGTTTGCCTCACCAGTGAACCACCAGACACAACTGCCCCGACCTACAGTGGGTGTTTTTCCTTTTCATGACGATTCTTGTGAGACATAGTTATGCATTATATTATAGCTTAGCAGATACTTACATACTGGGACCACTCCTGTTTGGCTGTGACACCGTCCTGAAGAGAAATATCAGCTGTAATTATACCTTTATTTATAGATGTTGGAGCTTGGCCTGTTTTTCCAGTGTAGTCCTGTTTCTCTGACTGTGACCGACTGAATTCTTCATCCTCTGACATGGGAGCTGACCTCTCTCTCCTTGAACCCCAGTTGGCCTTGGCATATAGCTGCTCACACTGAGTTTGGTCGATGCAATTAGCTGTTTTTTTTTAGATTTATTTATTTATTTATTCAAGGATCCCAATTAGTCTCTACGAGAATAGAGACTACTCTTCCTGGGGTCCATAAATGGAACACTTTGAACTAATCTGACTGTATTATCTGATTGATTTGTCTCTGTAAAGTGCTTTGAGTTGATATGTGTTGTGAATTGGTGCTATATAAATAAATTGAACTGAAATGAATAACAGACAGATAGATAGAAAGGAATCTCCCCTTGCCTTCATATAAAAAATATTGTTTTATTGCTGCTTTTGTATGTTAAATCATTTATTTAACATAGTCTGTGTTCTCCTAATTCATGCCAGTTATTCCATGGGAAGCATTTTTTAAACTACGTTTGACACAAAGTGAAATTTTAGAGGTTTTCTTGTGTATTCTCCCTTACATGAAGGTACGAAGCAAAAAAAAATCAATGTTTTTTTTTCTTTCTTTTTGAATGATTTCAGTTTCTTTGGTTATTAGTATAATTTTCAGATCTCTAATTCAACAGTCTGAGAGAGAACACCTTTTACATTTTTATTGCTTCATTGTTATGGTCAGAATTTGTGAACTGTCTATTTTGTTTTAAAATGGAGCACCAAATACAATGGAAAATAGGTGCCTGTACCTTTAAGCCTTTTTCTCAGTAAAAATTCTCACAATGGTCCCATTGAGATTGCAAAGAATTAATGTCAGACGTTTGCATCTGCCCAAGTGAACCTTATATAAAGTAATCAATGCGAATGAGCCCATAAAGGATGTGTAATGACATTTAATAAAACAGGGAATTAATATTGAACAGACAAAGATAAATGGGTTAGAAGCCAGAAGCAGACAGTTCAAATCCATCATTACATCTTTGCTTTATTGCAATACCACTTTATATATGACCGGATTAGTGTAGGATGATAATCAGGTTTCTCATTACCAAGGTATCTCATAGGAAACATGACATGATGGGTAAAGAAAGAGATCTATCAAGATCTTGTAATCTTATTGTTTTGAATTATACTGATATCATTAGTTAGATACATATTTAAACTATTGAATGTTCCAGAATGCACTCATTGGATCATTATCTTGAAGTGGAACAAAAATGATTGTCTCAAAAAACCCATAACTATATCCAATGAATTTTCAGATGATCTCTCCAAGAGCCAGTGACCACCAACAAAGATTCAGAAACACCTAGAATCAACAAATACAAACTACCCATTAACTAAAAGGGTATGTGCAGCCATCATGACATTCACACCAAACTCATTTGGCTAAATTCCCCTCCTGAAAAACAATATGTTGACACTCATTTAAAGCTTGCTGCAGAACATTGTGAGTCATTCAGAGAATATGTTCCAACTCGGAAGACTTAAACTGCACACTTTAGGTCTCATTCTAAAAACAACATGTTCGAAAAAATGTAATTTTACATGACCCAAAAACCATGTAAACCATTTTTTACCTTTAGGAAGAGTTGAAAACCATGTTCCAGCTGCAAAGGTTAGACATGGTTACTTCATTGTGATGGGCTTATGTTCAAAATACTTCATAAAACTGAAGGAAGTTAGAATAAAAATAGTAATGACATGTTACAAAGACTGCCATGATGGAATGAGAGTAAATTATGAAACAAGATAATTATTTTGATGTTAAAACACTCAGTAAGTTTTAAAGAAAGAACATACATTTGTTAGAATGACAGAAGTTAATAGAATGACTAAAGATCTGATCTGTGATGAAGATGAACCTTTGGAGTCAGCTCTTTGGTTTAATTTCGTGGCCTATATCATGCAAAATTTACTTTTTAAAACTTTTAAGTGTTATAATACTAACCCTTCATCAAAATAATGCAAAAAAAGTGGTATTCAACTTGATAAATGCAAGTCTAAGAATTCCTCATAAATGTTGCCCTTATAGCACCAATCCCTTCCTGTTCTGGAAAAGCAAGAGGTCATCAGCATCTTACATAAAGCTTTAACTCGCCCCTTAAAGAGGCACTTAACTTGACCTTGCTGTGCCTGCACAGTAAATAAATGGCCACTTTCTCAGAACAGTGAGAAATGATGTGAGGCAGAGTGAAATCACTTCTGCTCAAAGTGGAAACTAAGGAGCTTCTCTAGCAGCTAATCTGCACAGTGACAGCAACTGTTTTTTTTAGCTAATGTCTAGGTTGTTAAAATTGGTTTTTTGGCTGTGAGAGGTCTCAGACTTTTTTCAGCCTCCCTAATGCTACGTTCACACCGGACGCAGCAAAAGCAGCAAAATTGCGTCTGCTGCTTCATTTTTGCTGCTTGTACCAGTAAGTTCTGACACGCGGATGAAGCAGCTTTGCTGCTCTGGCTGCGCGGTCCAAAAGTGTGTCTGACGCGCGTTGGGCGGAGCTTCACTGTCCTTTCTTTGCCTTGCAGCTATATTTGCTGTGATCAGTGGGAATAAAGTAGTTTTAATATGTTTTTAAGTGAGAATGTCCACCTGAAAACTTAATCATTGCAGTCAGTTCATCCAGATTACCATCCTGCCTTCTAATATTATTTCTGTCGGAGCCGCTCAGACCCCCACACACCAGCGGTGCGCCGACAGTAGGAATCCCTTCAACAGCAGCCTCTGGCCGGGTCGCCTCCTCGCGGTTCACTGCGGCAGCTGGTAGGTGTTTTTCATCTAAATAATCTGAACTGCAGGCAGCAGGATAATAAAAGCGAACATATTCTGCCGGCAGATTTCTGCATTTTAAGTTAATTTAGGCGTTAATAAACTGTTTCAGAGGAGTGATCATAGCGATCTGTATCATCAGCGCTGTGTCTCTCTCCCTGCCAGCTCCCAGATCAGCTTCTCTGATTGGTTGATGCGGCGCGTCGAGCAGCAAAAATAAAATTTTTCCATCTCGAGCAGCAGCGCTGCGCCTGCTGCTCAAAACGCGCCGCGGGACCTTTTGCTGCGCCTTGACGCGCGTCAACCATTGACTTTGCATGTAAACTCGCTGCTTCTGTTGCGCCTGCTGCCCCCGGTGTGAACGCAGCATTAACGGGAGCCTAATCAGCAAAATGGGCAAAACTCACACAGAAGAGGCTGCTGGAAGAACAGCTAATATAATTATTCAAATGAATATCCCGTTTAAAGACATCTGTTGGTAAGTTTACATCAAAAAGCCAGCTAGGAATATATTAACTGAGAAAAAATGTGCAATGTTCAAAAGTTATATTCCCTGCTGTATATTTAAAATTTTATTTCTCCTTGAATCCTTCAGCTCTACCATTCATTCCACTCAGATTTCACGAGGCTGTTAAGACATCTCTTGGTTCAGGTACATGTAGACAGTTGACATTAACATATATAGCATGCTACAGAGGAAGTGCAATATCTCAAAGTTTGGCTCTCTCTAAGAAAAAGATGTGAAATTTGGCACCATAAAATTTTTTTATGTTTCACAAGTCACTTTATATCTAACAGAAGCACTCAGGTTGAAGGACACCAGGCCCCAAGGTTGCTCCTAGGCTTCTTTAAAGCTTTTTGTATATTAGTAGTAGTGCACTCTTCCAATAGTCCCTGTTCCTGTCCCCAGGATATCAGGCTGGCCATTCCTCCAGATCTCCCGTATGATCCGTTCCCTCTCCTCAAGCCTCTGTGCACGTTCCAGCTCCTCAGCTGAAGTAAAAACGTTCACACTTAAAGTGCCGTCTGACTGGCTGGTATGATTGCCAACAGGAATTTCAGTGATGGGCAATGCAACAGATGCCTCTACATCCTCCCCATCATCCTCCTCATCGTCGTCACTTTCTTCATCTTCCATGCTGGTGTCTTTTAAGGGGTTCTTTTCAGGAGTGGGATGAGCGACGTTTGTCCTTGGCTTACATGATATGCGGATTACCAAAAGGCACAGGGTCAACACCAGACCAAAGCATACTCCGAGGACAAAGTACAGCCCAAAACTTTCTGGATTGGCTACAGGGGAGACATAAACAAAAAATGGTTAACAAGATAAAGCATTTTAAATATTGAATTTTTGTTCTTTTTTTCTGTACTATGATTTACCTTTAATATGTGCAAAAGCTGCAATGCTGTTGCTAAGGAGATCCATTTCTTTTTTCTTGACATCCATGGTGATTTTCTTCACTTTGTAACACCTAAAGAACAAGAACCATATTCCTTACCATGTTTATTCTGAATCTGTGATAAAATCCAAATCCATATGGACTCCTCAAGGTGGTGGAAACATTCCCCATTTACCCTCCCCCACATTCTGTGAAATGTCCAAATGCATACGCACTGACGTTTTAGGTGTGCGGTAGTGAAGCTTTAAGATCCTCAACAAAAGCTTCTCTGTGGCTTCATGTGGGATCATTATAATGTACATGACAAAAGACCTTTTGACGCTATACAATACCTTTCAAAAGTATTCATACAGCCTAGTTGAACAACTTTTTTCCTCCCTGAAATTGTATGTAATAGATCAGCTCAAATAACTTTGAAGTGGATTATTGGAAGTTCAGATTAGTTTGTGCTAGTCTATAACATTTGAATGCATTGGTCTATATCATATAATCCCAATAAAGTGCAGTGGGATTTTGGTTTGTAAAGTAAAATGTAGAAAAGTCCAACAGGTATTTAAGACACTGTGAATAAGATAAAGTTTATCCGTTCAAGTAGTCACAACCAATCTGATCAGACTTGTTTTGTTATGAAGTTGTGTCCTTGACATTTATTTTCATGAGTCTTGACACTAATTTCCAATAATTCCTGCTGTGGTCCTCGGCGTGCTTTGAATATAACAATTGTTGGACTTGGCTTTGCAATATTCAGCATTAATATTTGGTAGAAATGCCTTTTTTTTTTTTTGAAGCTGGGTTTCTCTACACTGTACTACTTCCTGATGGATTTTTCTTACATAGTTTACCAATTTATCAATAGTTTTTTTTTACTTAATTGCTCCTTAATTTTGCTGCCTGAGCATTACTAGAAGACAACCAAACTCCAAAATGTTGTCCTTAAAACTAATGCTCACAACATTTTTTCAACGGAAATATTAAAATAAAACAGTGAAAATATCTGAAACCCCCTCATTTAACCTGTGTTTCTGTCCTCAAAGCTCAATGTTCTCAGATGGTATACTTAGAAGCAAAACTAATTGACTGTTATGTTTAGCTAAAGCTGAGTTACAGCTAAAGTTAGATGAGTTCTTTGAACATAGATATCCTTGAATTCAACTTAATTATGGTAGAAAACTGTGAAATAAAAAGAAAGAACTTGAAGTTGCTTCTTGAGGGCGACAGTGGCGTTGGATGTAGGAGTTTGCCCTGAAATCGAAGGATTGACGGTTCAAGCCCCGACTCCGACTTTCATTGTCGTTGTGTCCTTGGGCAAGACACTTCACCTGCATTGTCTACTGATGGTGGTCAGAGGGCCTGGTGGCGCCAGTGTACGGCAGCCTCGCTTCTGTCAGTGAGCCCCAGGACAGCTGTGGCTACAATGTAGCTTGCCACCATGAGTGTGTGCATGAATGGGTGAATGAATGTAGTGTAAAGCGCTTTGGTCAAGTCTCCTAACTTGAATAAAGGCGCTATATAAGTACATGCCATTTACAGGTCTGGGCAGATTATCTAAACAAGTGGTCCCCCTAATTGTCAGTCATTCTGGTGATATGTTGACGTAAGGCCGTCCAACGTGCTTGTCCTGTTAGCCATCTTTTTTGCACATTCGCACTTTTCAGACCGGTCATTTTCAATAGAGACACTGCCTGCTTTATAATTCTTGTAGAAATAAACCCAACTGTAGGATAAACAGCTAAACTGGTGTCTTATATCTACCTCCACTTATGTTTTTGTGCCGTGAACCAGTGGGCTGGTCTGTATGTCAATTTCGGGGCGTGACAAAAGTACAGGCTAGAACCAAATAAGGCAAAATTCCAGACTTTACGTCAACTTGGTGCTTCGTTTGAATTCGCCCATTTTATGGTGTAAGTTTAGAATTGTGAGATTTGCAGAGAAAGGAGGTGTTGATGGGGTTTAAACTTCTCTGTACGTCCATATTACCCACTGAACTATCGTTATTCATCTATGACATGTAAACTTGGTTTTCCATTCTTTGAGTCCTTTAAAACTGCAGCAGACATATTGGATTTTAGGGTTTGAATTTTTGAATACCTTTGAGATTTCCATTTTAACTTTCTGTGTATTAATAACTGGAAATAATTATTCATATTTGAGAATGGAATACAGCATTAAACCATATATTTTAAATAAAAATGAAGGCTTGTGTTTCTTTTCTCTTACATTTTGTTTTGCCATTAGTACTTGATAACATTTTACTAATGTGGTGCTTGTTATAAAGAGTTGCAGAAACGTCGCCTTAAGCAAAACCAAATGTCTACAATAAATGCACACTTTGTACACTTTGTCTCAGATTACACAGATCAAATGTTCGTGTTTATTTTTGACTCTTAATTTAAAACTCTGAGATCTGCTTGATCTCTACCATCATTAGCTCTCTCCCTACGAATTATAACACACTCAGCCTTATTCGTTTGATTCTTTTTGAATTAGAGAGGAATTTAAACACAAAACCACATTTGTAAACCATATGTAAATTAGGAAACAAATGAACTACAAGCTACGGAAAAAATTCATCTGCAAAAGCCAACCTATTCTCACATTAGAGTTCAAGTTAGAAATACAACTCACCACAAAACGAAATCCTAAAGGAATTCTTCAGTCCCGACTCATAATGTAAAGAAAGTCTGCAGTGTTCTCGATCCGCTGGCCGCTTAGTTGCTGTTGGATCAAGGCCTATGATCTTTGGTCTTCAGGCTAAACAGTTCATTTGGCCACCCTGAGACGAGAACAAACACAGACACACATACACACAGACGTCAAGCTACATTAGCAACAAACTCAGTGAGGCATCTGCAATGCAAACAGGGATAGGCCCGTTGCAGAGCTGGCTGCCCAGAACAAGACTAGAGGGAAATTTGGCAGTTCCTATGTAGGAGCAGCTTCAATAAAATATAATATGAACAAAGGCTTTAAAGTCAAATAAAATACCCAAGTTTCATACAGCAGCATGAAATGTTCAAGTGTTTAATTTAAAGTTTAAAGTTTGTAAAGTTGTCCTACTGGAATTGAAGGTGGCCATGATTCGATCGAAAGAGCTGCAGTCTTTCACAACTGGAAAATGCCAGTTTCTATTTTAGTCCTCAGGCAAGACAATGAAGCCAGAAGAGATTAATTTGGTTAAATTCATATACTGAATCCTATCTTCAGTAATTCCAGTTATTCTTTAAAATCATTGATATCACTACTTGGACATTGTTTAGTCTGTAATTCAAAGTGTTCCTGCGTTAGAGTTTTACCTCTTAAATTACTAGTCAGTCAGATCTTACAAAGTGGGTGGTTTCTAAAACATCCAATTTTTACATACATGGGGGTTTTACAATAAGCTCTAGGGTAAAAGAAACACAAAGCTTTCAATTCAGAATACCTTTGCAGCTATGCAATATTTTCATAGCTGAACATATGCAATAGAGAACATTTAATGAATGATCAAATGATCTAACTACCTTAATCTGGATTTCGCCAAATAATCAAAGTGTAATTCTGTGACATTTTACCATCATAAGAAATATGCAAAGATTTTGAGAAAGGAAGACCTCTTTTTGCATTTTATTTATTTATTTTTTTTGCACACGTTAACTGAAACTGCACTTAACTAATTACAAGCCATGTAAAAAAAAAAGCATTATATGCTCACAATAGGTTAAAATGCATAAAAAGGCTTGTAATGAAGCAGCAACATTAGCATGCGGCTGGTTGGATGAGTTTAGCCAGAAGTATCATACGAAACAAATTATATTTATACATCTCAAAACATCTCAGGTGAGTGAGCTGAGTGCTACACAATAACTTTATATTTGTGTACTATTTGATGCTTTTATAATGTAGTGTTATATTTTTGTAAATAGATGGAATTTATTTTGATAAAGTAATTCACACATGGTATTTGCAAATGCTTTTTCTGTAGTTTCTTGGATCAGTATAGAGAAATTATTCCTAACAAGAACATTAACAGCAAAAACATTAAAACCTTGCTGGATATTAAGAATTAACATGCCAGGTGGAGATGGCAGTGAAATGTGCAGAGCTTTGTTTTTTCTAACCTATATTCCTGTGTAGAAAACAGTCCTGCTCTGCCAGCAGCTGTTGGTTTAAGAGAGCCCTCTTGCTTTTTCTGAGCTGATTTTAATCATGCTGACTCTCCGCAATGTCTCGGTGAGACAGCATTTAGGGAGTGGGAGGGTTATAGACAGAGGAGCCATTATGCCAACATTTCCAGGCCTCCCCCTCGGCCCTGATGGAGGGAACAAGTTGACCGCTTGTTTCTGCCACGAAAACAGCTTGAATATACCTTGAAAAAGTATTTTAGGCACTTTTGTTTTATATTACTTTAAAAAAAGATAATTTTGTTCCTCCTATAAGGTCATATGTAATCGATTCACCATTATTAAAAACAAAGACTCTGAATTATGATTTTAATTTTTTCATCGAGTAAATAAACTGAATATCTAATCACCTCTAGTCAAAGTAAGGAGCAATTTGGACACCTTTAGTACACCTTCTAGTCTCTGCTCAAACGATGATTCAACTAAACAAAGCTTGACCACCCAATGATCTACTGTCCTGCTTTTAGCTCATTGAGGCCTTTATGATCCAGCTCTGTTTATAAGCTGTCTTTGATTTGTCCAATTAATTATTATCAGAACTTCTCCTTTTAAGCTGCATTGCAAGTATTTCATTACTAAGCTTTTAGACATGTTTTTTCCAAGTATTTATTGTGCCATAGCCATACCCAGTATTGAAATTTGAATAAACTGGACTCGTAATAATTACTTTGTTTTATTATGTTTTTCCTGAATTTTTTGTTCTGATAAACTACTCTGTGTAACCAAAAATAGTGCTCTGTTTATTTTAGGTTACTTTCCGGACTATAGAGTTCACCTAACTATAAGGTGCACCCACTAAGTAAAAAAAAAAAAGAACCTGCAAAAGTACATATACACCAGGCTATAAGCCTCAGGTATCTACTGAATGTTCCCCACCAAACCTATAGGGGGAGCTCTACATAACAACGCTAGAGTAGGGAAGAATGCTAGCTCCAGTTATCTTGTTGGCTCAAGGCAGTAAGAGCTTGTAATAAAAGATGTTGTTTCGTAAGCTCTTTATTTCAGTTCTGCATTAGCTGCGCACAGTCTCTTCATTGGTTCAACAGCTTTATTGGGGCAAAAAAAGTCAAAAGGTGTAGGTGTATAGTCCGGAAAACATGGTACTGTCACAAAATATTTGTTTAAATAAAATAAATAAATGTATTATTAATTATTGTTATCAATAATATGAATATATTTTACAATAAAATGTAACATTTGAATAAAGTAAACTTAGATGGGTAAATGATGACCTTGGATTGTTTTCAAATTTAACAACTTTTAGTACATTTTGGTTTTAAATATAGGTAAAATTAAATATAGATACGAAGGGTGAGATTTTCCATTTACTTGGCAGAACGTGCAGCAGCACATGCTTTCATTATCGTCTGCTTTCCTGATCTCACATCCTCAGTTCATGAGGGAAGTTTCCTCTTCCTGATCTTTATGGAAACTACATACTACTTACAAATCTCTTAATACATTCAGGAAAAATTAACTAAGTGAAAATGATATTGTTAAAGTTAGAGTTGAAAACAAAATAAAACTTTAACAGCAAATTTCAGATTTCTGTTTGCCAAATGTTACTAAGTCTATAGTGAGTTGTTCAGAGTATCTAATCAGAACATGTTATGTTGTTGTAAATCATGAACATGTCAAAGTCTATTTCTGGCATATACTGTTTACTTTGGTTTGGATGGAGGAATAGAATTGAAGACAAGCTCCAAATATAGCACAATATTTTTTCCTGTCATCCACTTGAAGATAATCACAGTTGTTATTCCGTTTGCCAAGGTCCTTCGCGATTTCCAGGGACAACATCTGTGTCAAAGGTTTCCTACAACGTTGGAGCTATTGTTTTAAACTGGGAGGAGTCACTGTCCAGGCTTTCTACTGTATACAGCTGTCAGATGAGATGACACGGTCAGCATTTCAGCCTAAATTATATTTTTTTTTTCATCAATTTTTTCAATAACTATACAGCGTTTTAATGAAAATTCACCCTAAAGTTGTGTTCAGAGCAAAGAATAAGATGAATTATCAAGTCATAAAAAATAGGATTTTTTTAGCTATTTCATATATTCGAAAAAGTAGCAACGCCACACAGTTAAAATAAAAATAAAGGGTTTTTGTAGGAAAACATAAATGCAATGAACTGGGAAAACCCTTCAAGGATGAGATATAAAAGAGACAAATCTTTTAATTTTACAATGAGTAAATAAGATCAGAAAAAAACTCAAAAGTTTAGGAGGTAAAACTTCAGTCAAAAATTATAAAACAGTTCTTCAGAGATGTATGAAGCTGTGAGTAGAGAACATCAAATTTTCCCAGGTAGCAAAAACAAGTTAATATTATAGTTATCAGCTGAGTGATTAAACCGGGAGTCGTGCATACCCTGTTTAAATGACTGGGAGAAAATGTTGCCCAATCAAAAACAGCATAGACTGGTTAAGTGTGTACGGAAAAACATGTTATTAGTGAATTTTAAAATAATGTCTCCTCTTGTGTCCTCTGTTACAGAACAGACCCAGCTCTGTGCTTTTAGGATCAGCTCTGTATTTGCCACAACAGACCAGAGCAGCTCTTACATTAGTGCAGAAGAAGTTGGAATATATATCCCAGGTTTACCGTAGTTTGTAAATAAGTCCCCAGGATACCTGAAACACTCCACTTGAGGCAGAGACCCTAATCCTAAAGCTTGATTGTTATCCTCTGCAGGACAATCCCTTTATTGTCCCACAATAAGGAAATTCACTCTATGCATTTGACCCATCCTCTTGGGGAGAAGTGGGCTGCCATTGTGTGTTAATAAGTGAGATTGTGTGAGGTTAAGTGTTTTGCCGTGGAATCCAGGACGGAGGCTGTGGGGATTGAACCCAGTACTTGCAACCTTCTCAGAGCACAAGAGAACTGCTCTAACCACTAGGCCAACACTCCCCACTCGCTAAAGGTTATGGTGTCAAAAACCATACATCAACTGCAAAAAGTGAATAGGAGACCTTGAGGTTTTCCAAACCAGAAGTCCTACTCTCCACATCTTAGGACCATGTTCATGGACACCACCAACAGGCTCAGGCTTGGCGGAATCTAACCTACATAAGCATTGTGCTGAGGATGCAGACATAGCCCTTGCAATGAGTATACAGCTACCTGATAGCCTTTACTGTTGATGTTACCCACACTCCAGCAGCATTAGCCATAACATTCCTCAAGAGAGGCAGTAATTAGGCATTCTCTAGATCCACAATTAGACATATAATATGGATGATCCAACCAAGCTCTTTTGACCCTTTCAACAATCCTGCTGGGCAAATATCTTGTCCACTGTTCCACGGCCATGATGAAAGCCATGTTGTTCTCCCTAAAACTGGGTCAAATTGTATCAAGAAAATATTCTTCACACCTGTACTCTGTAACACCAGCAAACATGGCACATTAAGGGTCACTTCTATTACCCTTTTGCCCTTTCTGATGCTGGTTCTGAACCTCAGCAGTGTCAAAAGTAATCTATTTTTGCAACTAAAGTTGCCAAAGACTGTAAGTCTGTTTTTTTGCCTTAAATCACCATGTAAAATATTTGTTTCTGACTTATTATGATTGGATTACTGGTCCTAACTGAGAAACACATCTGTAT